TTACAGATTCCTACATATTGCGACCCAAAATGTTTGGATATGATTGATTCTTTGTCCGTCGTTATATGTAATTTCTTGAGATGATGTATATTTGCTAATTAAAGTTGCTTGCACGTCAATTTGTATCATATTTACCTTTATCCTTTATGCAAATTCCAACTACTCAGTATTGAATTTGGCAGATATACTGTGGGAAAAATTACTCCCATTCAAAGTCGAGACGTTAGGGATACTGATTTTGGCCCTCATGCCAGCTTTTGGATGAATTTTCCTAAAGAGGGGTCACAACTGACACCTCCACATCAGTCAGAGGATTTTAGGTGGAAAGATTATTGCCCAATGGTTTTCAGGTTTGTTGTGACTTTCTTTTCGTCCAGTATCAAATTCCTCCACAGTTCTATGAGTATCAGGGAGGTTTCCTTGCTTTGTACTTATGAAATGTCCTATTTTTGTTTATCTTACTTGCTTTTATCTGTTTCCTTTTTATCTTCATGCAGTCTGAAAACAATCTTGGAGTAGCTTCATTTGTCATATTGTCATTTTCTTCATACCTGAAAATACTATCACATGGTCTTTCTTTGAGTACATTCATGATTCATTAGACGTACAACTGATATATGATTGTATTAGATGTACCTTTCCCATTCGTATTTGCGTAACTGTCATACTTAGTGAATTCTACACAATATTGGAGTAATTTCACTGTTTCATTGTCTTTGCATGGGTAGAATAGAAAAAAGTTCATTATTCTTCAATATTATGTCACTTGATCACCTTTTGCCTTCTTTTTTCTCCTTTATTTTCATTTTCCCTTTTCATACTTGGCATCTTAAAAATACGACTATTGTCCTAGAATAGTATTAATTTTTCATTGTAAATTTGATATGCATTCTTTCTGAAGCTCAAAAGGTGTGTTTTTTTCCTTGCAGAAATCTGAGAGAGATGTTTAAGATTGATGCTGCTGACTACATGATGTCCATATGTGGAAATGATGCTCTCAGGGAACTTTCTTCGCCTGGGAAAAGTGGTAGTGTATTTTTCCTGTCTCAAGATGATCGTTTCATGATCAAGACACTGCGAAAATCTGAAGTTAAGGTTCGATATTTCGATTCTCACTGACCTGCTCTGGTTTCATTGGTTTTTGGTTCTTGTCTGGAATCTACTAAATGCTGAACTTTTTTTTTGGTAGTTGGGTTGGGGGGTTAGCCAGGGAAGTTTTGATGCATGAGGAATTTGTTAAAACGATTTTCACGAAGTAGGATAATATTCACTTGAACTTTTAATTATGAAATGCTCTCCTTTCACCATACACTTGATTGTTTAAACTGGCTGGATTTTCAACAGAAAACCCAATTAAATCAACTGATTTTAGATAGATGCTAAACCTTAAAACTCCTCTATGGGGTTTAAGTTGAGCTCAAGCTACATGATTTTGTTGAGGCCTTGCTGAAGAACTGCGTTTGAACTATATCAATTTGATATTAATTTGTCAAAGATATGGTAGAAAAGGAAATTTTTCTGTTAAGATTAAACTTCTCTTGGAATATTTCTGCTTCTGGACTCCTGAATGAACGCAAGGAACTACCTGAATTGTCATTAGTTTTTGAAAAGCTGTGCCTTAAAAGGACATCTAAAAGTATGGATCAAAGTAGGGTTAACAATGGAACTCTTAAAAGAGATATTTTCAAAAGGGACTAGTATAAACTGAATAACATCTTCTCAGGAGAATTAAAATTTGGAAAACTATTATTAAGACCTCCGATGGCAGGTAAATAATCTGTCCGTGGCCATCCAAATAATGGACTTCTCTACTTAAGATGTGGAAGAGAAGATCCATGTTAGTATTCCAATGTCTCTCTCTTTCAGGAAGTTGCACGCAAGTATAATATAACAATTTTACTGATTAAGCTTTCAGTTGTTTCACTTTGTTACATCAAGTTGCTTGAGTTTGGATAGCAGGTACTGCTCTCTTGTTTGATGTTTATAATTATACTGGGTGCCATTTTCAGTTGCACCTATTATATTATCTTAAGTTATGCTGTCCTTATTTTTATCATTTCCTATATTGAGTTTTGTTAAATTGATAATGATTGGTGATCTCACATGTAGGTTCTACTTCGGATGCTTCCAGACTATCATCGCCATGTACGCACATATGAGAATACTCTCATGACTAAATTTTTTGGTCTTCACAGGATTAAGCCTTCTAGTGGTCAAAAGGTTATTAATACATGCTACTGCTCCCGGAGAACTTGTCTCAGGAAAATACATCTTTACATTTAGTTCCTGTTTGGTTAAGATAAAAATCTGATTTTTAGTAGTTTTTGTATGAGTTAATGAAATGTGTGGTTGAAAAGTTGATATAAATTGTGGGTCCCATGTGGTTGAAAATGAGTTTGAAAAAAAATGATTTTTAGAAAATGGGGGCCAAACAGGGGCTTTGTATTTTGATTAAGTTACCTTGGCCTTCTCAAACAATAGGCTAATATTTATTCACCTTTTTCTGCTTTGCAGTTTCGTTTTGTGGTAATGGGAAATGTGTTCTGCACAGAGTTAAGGATTCATCGAAGGTTCGATTTGAAAGGTTCTTCGTTAGGACGTTCTGCAGATAAGGTTGAAATCGATGAAAACACCATTCTTAAGGACCTGGATTTAAATTACTGCTTTTATTTGGAACCTTCTTGGCAAGATGCCCTCCTACAGTAAGTGGGAATTCGTAATCATTTACCTTTATACATGCTGACAGTACGCTGTGGTTTGTCCATACTAACAATGCTGTGATTCACCAGCTCATTATTGATTAAAGTTTATCGACGTCTTGTTTGTAATTTACCTCAGTGAGACATGTTATAGACTTAAAGTAATGCCTTTGCTATATTCAAAGTCTTAGCTGCCAGAAAGTACTACCTTTTTCATTGTAGCTTGCTCTGATGAGAACTTAACATGCGAGTCTCAGTTTAGTTTTTTATAGCGGCATAGATGCTGTAACATAAGTTTCTTGAAGGAACACGTGTATCCGTAAGACGTAATGCAATCTCAATAAATCTAACTGAAGCAACTCAATTGCAATGGACAATGGGGTGATTTTCTTCTCTGGATATTTTTTGATGAAGCCTCCGAAGAGTAATTACAGTCTAGCAGTGGTGATTTAGAACCCAATTTTCTGAGTACTCGTGATGTTAATTTCAAGAACACCTTGCATCAAGTTCTCATTTTTATTTACATACTTGTGATGTTCACTAGTTCTATGATATGCAGGCAGATTGAAATAGATAGCAAATTCTTGGAAGCGCAGCACATAATGGATTACAGCCTCTTGCTAGGTGTTCATTACCGAGCACCCCAACACCTCCACTCTTGTATGTCTTACAGTCAGCATATGTCAGCGGATGGACTGGGAATATTGGCAGAAGGTAGGGTTCACATCCCATGTAATAGAGAAACAGATGGATAAATGTGAGGAGGCCACGTGATCGTATTCATCTTTGAAATGTAAAAGCACTTGCGAAAATAATAAAGAAGCAAAAGTCCTAGGTCTCGTCCATTTAACCAATAACATTATTAATAGTCTCTATATTACTCAGCCGATTCTTTGCATTTTCAAAATTGTGTTTATTCTAGGCTTATTAATTTCAATTGCTGATTTTACCACCTCAGAGTCTATCGAAGATGATATATCTCCACAAGGCCTTGTTTTGGTCCCTCGAGGTGATGATGATGGTAGCGTTGTTATGGGCCCCCATATTAGAGGTGGCCGGTTGCGAGCATCATCTGCGACTGGGGACGAGGAAGTGGATCTTCTCCTTCCTGGTACAGCAAGGTATTTCAATGTAACTTTACTGTGAAAATTCTCAGTATTGCTGCTTTTAAGTTCTTCCAAAAACAAGTGCATTGTTGTCATTGATATGCAATCCCATCAATAAAACAACTGGTGCATCCTTATCTTTTCACATAAGCTAAATTAAGCAACAATTTTTTGGAGTTCAAAAGTGCATCAATAAGGGGCAAATGTTTGAGGAGCCGCTAAGACTAAAAGCATCAGTCGCACATCTGAAAGCATAAATGGGAGTTTTGTGCATGTAGATTATCTCAGTTAAATACTTCTGAAAGAAAAGCTATCAATGCCTTGAGAAGATTGGCTTATGAATTTAAGAAGATACGAAAGTAGTTCTCTCTAAACTTTAGTTTCTTACATTTTGGTTTCTTGGTTTTTCCTTTTAACAGACTCCAAATCCAACTTGGAGTGAATATGCCAGCAAGAGCAGAGCATATCCCCGGAAAAGATGACACTCATATATTTCACCAGGTGTACGATGTTGTCTTGTATTTGGGTATCATCGACATATTGCAAGAGTACAACGTAAGTAAGAAGATTGAACACGCATATAAATCTATCCAATTTGATTCAGTGTCCATCTCCGTTGTCGACCCTACTTTTTATTCACAGCGGTTTTTAGAATTCATTCGGAAGGTTTTTCCACCAAATGCTATGGCAAGATAGAAGACCTGATTGATCGTCTGTCCTGGCTTCTAGCGCCCCATTGACTACGCTGAAGTTCAACATTTCAACTGTTTTCTGTTTTCCTGTTTGTGTTTAAATTTCAATATTTGGTTAACGGGGGGCAGTTGTACTTTCGTGTATTGTCATTGAGCAGATCTATCTTGCCCCTTATTTCATGTGGCCACAATGTCCAAATTTTCATGCACATTTTGTTAAATGCATTGCCTTTTTTTCGCTGTTCTTGCTCAAAACAAGCGTCAAAATTAACAAAAACAGTGATCTTCAAACACATTGGTCAAGTATTTGAAGAAACATAATAACGGAGAGGACAATATAATATTTTGGTACAACTTTGGTCTACAGTTAATAGATCGAAATACACTTCATCAATTGCTTTGTACTTACATTCATCCAACTTCCATTCTGATAAAAAAAATCACCATAATAAAAAATCTGCAAATCTCCTAGTATGCATTATGGAAAGGAATGACGAGACTCGTTAACCCATGTTGGGAGGTGGAGGGGGAGGATGTACCCCCTGGCCATGCATTTGTTGCCCTGCAAAACTTTGAGGTGGCTGCATAGGAGGCCTTCCCATTTGCATGCCAGGAGTAAAATTTGCCATTGAACCACCACCAACTGGGGGAGGCGGTGGAGCAGGTAAATTAGCACCTGGAGGCATAGGGCGAGGGCCATTAGCCATAGGAGGCGGCGGTGGCAAAGGCCTGGGAACATTTCCAGTAGGTGCTCCGGGAGGGTGTCCTTGTGGAGGAGGTGGTGGTGGGGGCAGATCTTGGGGTGGAGGCGGCCTTGGAGGGGCACCAGGAGCTGAAGTCCCATTGGCTGCAGGAGGAGGTGGAGGTTTATTTGCCTCTGGTGGCTTTGTCTTGAAGTATAACTGCAGCTGCATGTTCAGTTATCGCACAAATGACAAAACAATGTCAGATATATCATCCAGTAAAACTGGGGAGATACTAATCCACAGTTTAAAATGCATTTTATCCGAAGATCAGGCATTTTAATTGTTCTCTGTCCTGCCTCGCAAGAGAAGAGAAGCATGTTGGTCATGCAACATCAGTAGAACAAGTTTGCTGGCCACATATCTTCTAACCTAATCAACTACCTCTTAAGAGGCAGCTAAACCTTCAGTTAACAAAAACCTATGGCGAAATAAAAGGTGGAGGAGTTCGAAAATTTTCTGTATAAATTCATGTTGCTTATCTATTATTTTTGCATCTAAACAGTCAACACCAAGTCCGGCTCATGATAAAGGAACAGCAAACTTGAAATGTTAAACACACAAGCTATAAACCTTTAAAACCAAAAAAAAAAAAAAAAGAGGAACACAAACATACCGTGAACATTTTAGAGTCAGGGTCCCAGTGTGAGAAAAACTTGGGGGTTGATTTATCAATCTCTGTACTTGGAACCTAAAAAATTCCAAGATTAAAATTCAATTAAATCCATATACACACAAATACTGAGATCAAATTTACCTGAAAAGCAATAATTTCATATGGTTCAGCTGCAAACAAGAGAAACTGATATCTTTTATCAAAGGCTTGTATTTTCTGCATGTCGTACGAAAAGGTGGTCAGTAAATAGGAAGTGCATCATTAGCTCAAAATTATGTCTTAGAAGAAGAGAATCAGCTAAAAAAGTCGAAATAAATACTTGAATTTGAGAAGACAATATACCTGCTCAAAGGAAGACATAAATCGGTGACGTGGCTTTGTATTGTCTTCAATCTCAGGATATTCAATCTGAACCAAGTCATATAAATATTCATTAGGGTGCCAAATCACTAAATATTGAGCACATCTTCCATTTAGTGTAAGGCAACTGGACATCTGTGGACACATAGTTACACAGGTGCACATAACAAGTTTCATGGCTCACCTATCCAAACAAAATTCTCAATACCTAATCTTTAACTAGGCTTCTCAAATGGAATTTGGCAGCCACTAATATCAAGCTCAAAAAACTGAAATTTTGAAATTACAGCCTATAATTATAATTAGATGCCTGTAAGTATCATTTATAATCCTAGTATTGCTAGCTCCTTAAACTAACATAAAAACGATAGATGGTGGTATTATATCCATCCCAATGCAACTGCTGTACCCTATGACTCATATCCAAGTGGCTACAAAACAAAATGGAATTCTATCACATGTATAATCATGTCTTACCACACAGTTGTACGCTCCATCAGGCAATACCAAGGACAGGGTTTAATTGAGCCATAATCAACCGGCTTGAATATGTAAAACATAAATCTTTATTTTTTTATTTATTCCTGTCCCTATAGAATCCATTAAAAAAAACTATTTGAGATTTACGCCTTGAATCCCGTCCCTTAAGTGCCATTTCTAAGGCTTAAACCTCAATAACCGAGGCCTACACCTCAAGCACCTCAGGGCAACTACAGTGTTCACCAGTTTGTCTTGCATTTTCCAAACCTCTCAAATTACTGGTCTTATTAGCTTTTTGGGCAAATTCTTTGTAAGCTAAAATGCTGTGGCGATTCTTTTATTTTCTTCTCTCTCGTCTCTACCTACATAGAAGGAACAGAGGAGGGAGAAAACACCATAGCAAGTAGAAAGTAATGATAAAGAATGAGCAAAAACTTAAAATGACGGGGAAGATGATATCAATGATTCTCTAAAAGATCGTATTAGTATTCATGATTTTTAAGTTGTTTCTACTTCTAGTTAATTTTCTATATAGTTTCACGATTAATAATTGAAGAACTTATTATTTTCTCTTTATTGATATATTTTATGATTGTTTGCAAATTATACTTCCCCTGTTTGATTCCACTAAAATGTAGATTAAAATCCAATCCAAAGTCTTAACACTTAATTAGAACCACACGTTTCATAAGACCCGCAACTTTTCAACCACACAATCCATCAACTTTTACCAAAATCTACTAAAAATTTGATTTTTATCTAAACCAAACAGGGGCTTAACTTTGTTGATTATGTTTATAATGGATTTTTTTGAGGTTTATAGTTTATTATGAGTATGTTGTCATATTTTTTATACATTTTAAAATTATTTTATTGTAGCGTCTTGAAGCTTATACATCTCCTCATAGAGGAAAAATGCCAAGATAACTGGCTAAGACTTTCTGAACATCGGTTAGGTGGACAAGTGAGTGCGTGTCGTCGAGAGAGATATTGCTTCCCTTCCCCATACTTCTCAAATACAATCAAACAACTTCTTTATTGAGCAGTCGACCATGTCGAGGTTGTCTTCTGATTGAAAAGACAATTTGAAGTTTAAGTAGACTCACTTAGGGCATGTTTGGCAAAGCTTTTATTATACTACAAGATATCTGTGGATAATAAATAATAATTGATTAGTAGGTAAAAGTTGTGGGTCTTACGAAATATGCGGGTAAAAAATGAGTTGACTAGCTTATAAGCAAATATATAAGTTTCGCCAAAGCTGCACTTAGTCCGCTTATATTACTCTGTTGAGCAAGACAACATCAATCCTGATGTTATCCTATCATAGATACTACTATATTCTTAATCTTACTATTGTGACCTTGAACACACAGACCCATTGTTATATTATTATTTTGACAAACAATATGCCAATTTTCCTTACACTGCTCGACAACTTTGAGAACTTGAATTTCATCATAATTCTGGTTACACAGCGACACAGGCAGAGATTTAGTAAAAATTAAAAGAATTCATCAAGCAATATGTTGAAATGTTCGACGTTAGATATCTTCTCAATCTTCTAAAAAAAATAATAAATTTAACATGAAGAAATTCTGAATCTGTTGTAGCATTTTCATCACATACAGAAAAAAAATTTATTGGCATATATTATCTTCACTTGGATAATCATCATAAACCGATCCAATCAACTCATTTCCTCCATAAATCAACTTCATATTGTCTTTATAAGATATATTTTTCCAGGCAACTTTTCAAGATATTCAAAGTTTCGCAAATAACCTTGTGTATTACATCATGAACTTCAACGCATTCTTGGTTCTAGAGTTTAACTTCAACACATTCTTGGTTCTAGAGTTTTGTCAAAATCTAAAGGAAGTTCTTAATAGGGTTTACAATAATTACAATGTACAAAAGCCATATTTTAGTTTCTGAAAGACATAGAGGCCGTAACTTGATTTAGAATTATCTATTATAGGAAATTAAAAATCCTCAAAAGATGTTCTAGAAGAGTATAGTGTGGACAGTGTGTATTATCATTTCAAAGAAGAGGGGAAGGGGGAACTGCTTCCGCACCTGGAAAAGTAGAGACCTCTGTTTCGTCTCTGGGTCAAATTGCTTTGTCACACGGTATCCAGGTCTACCAATTTTAACTGCTAGCACAACAGAAAGATGTTTATCATGTAGAATAAGAATTATAGAACCAGCACCTCACCTTACTATTAGACAGCTTCTCATGCAACCCAAGTTAAATTTTCATTCCTTTTGTTTACTTTTGCTTTCTTAAAAAATAAATTCAATTAAAATTAGAAAACCATTCAAAGATAACACATTTTGGAAATTGAAAAAATGTAGGCTGCAAGGTATGTGCCCTGAGATTCATTTCCTTTACGCGTTTTAAAAAAGGCGCAGTAACAATCATTAGCGAACAACAAAACGCAACATCAGTATATTGAATTCAAGCATTTCTATACAGCTAAAAAAACTCGTTCTTATTATATTAAGACCATAAAGCTGTCTACAAAATCATAGCTTCTAAAAACCCCCAACCTCAGAAAGAAATTCAAAAATAAAAAAATTCCCAACAACTTATTGACGAAGCTTAATTGTTACCGGATTTTTTAAGTGAGATTTTGCGCTTATGAGGCTGTGGCTGAGCCGGTGCCTCCTTGGCTTCACGAGCCGCTCGCTTGGCCAAGTTTGTCTGATGCCGCTTCCCCTGTGTGTGCGCCAAGTAATTTCCCTCATTGTTGTGCAAAGTCAAACATAGCTTACACTCATAGCTGCAAAAGATTTACCAAAATGTAAAATCAACGGACATTATATGCAAAATTAAAAAATAAATCACACGCCAGTTTAGAATTAGGGTATGCCTGCCAAGGTGGTTGCGCATGAAATACGGATCTTTAGCTAGATCGATGGTTTCGAGCGCCAGTCGTCTCAGCCGCTCACGGCGGTCAATGGCCTCATTCTGGGCGGAGGCGGCGCCACCGCTTCCAGGCTTCGAACCCCACTCTCTATCCATTTTCTCAGGGCGTGGATGTCACTGGGTTGATTGGACTCGCAAAATTGATCTTGTTGGGAGGTTTTCTAAGTTCGATAATGGGCGGTTCCTTGTCTAGGTTGGGTTTCTTAGACCCCATCATATTGGGCTGGGCTATTGGAAAGAATGACGAAAGCCTATGTTTCGGCCCCATTTTCTCAAAATTTATTTTTTTAAAAAAATTATTTTCAATCACATATTCTCATATAAAATAATTTTACAAGCAAATGTTTTTTAAAAAATTATTTTTAATTACATATTCTCCAAAAAGTCACTATTCCAAAACACATTCCCCCAACATGGAGTCAAACAGGGGCTAAGTATAGATTTTTGGAAATGGATTTTATGAAAGAGGAAATTACATCCATTACTATGTTCTAACTTATTATTTTTAAATTTATTCTTTCAAAATTTGGGATATACTACCCCACCCACCTATCATTTTACATAATCTTTCACAAGTTACAGACTATATCTTTCACCTTTGCCATTCACCGTCCACACATCCCGCTCCATCACCGCCTATACATACTCAACCACATTCACCCATCAATGCTTGCGCGCCACCATTCCCACCACCATCAATAAACACCCAACAACATCATTCTGATAGTACAAGAATAACTAACCAATAGATGGTGAAATGATTTTCTAAGCTTTTTCAAAAAATTAATTTAAATTCAAGCAAGTTGAGAATGAATAAATCAACCAAACACAATGCACAAATACGAAAATAATAAATAAAAAGGGAAGAAAGATTGCAAAAGATATAATTATGGAGCTTCGATCCAAAATAATAATCTACGTCCTCCGTAATCAAGTTCTCCATCACAAGCAATGTCATTTCACTATATTTTATTGACTTGTTGTGCAATCCAAACTTTTACAACGCTTCCGGTGACTTACAAATAAAAAGTATCGACCATTGTACAATATTGAGCTTTACGTGACCTCATTGTGACCCACAAATTTGTTAAGAAATGATTTTTCAATTCAGAACTTCTCTCTTAATAAATTATATAAACAAATTAAGTACTAAAAGAAAAATACGCTAACAATTCAAATGAATAGCAACAAATAAAATTCAAGTGTTAGATGAAAATAGCTTTGATGAAAAAATGACTTTTAAAGGTTGAATCAATCAAAGATTTTCAAAGTAAATGTTTTGATGAAGATAAATAAGATATAAGATCAAACTAATTTTGCTCAATAAAATTTCACTTAAATGCTCTTGAAAAGTGTTGCAATGAATGCAAAGTGAGATGTTATTTATATAGTTCATGCAAAATTATATGTGGAATTGGACAGTCAATCGAACTTCAACTTCCTCACCCAGAAGTACAAAAACTATCCTTCATGCACAGACATCAGAACAATTGAAAAAGTGACCGTTGCATGATCTGGATGTCCTCGTGGACATCCGGATGTTCATTACTTTGTCCGGCGTCTACATTTCGATAGTTTAATCCTTCTTTTTTTTTTGTGCATGGTCTGATGTGAATATTTTCAAAATATGATCTAAAATCAATTTTCGCTTTTAATAAAAATATTTTATACAAATGATAGTGAAAGTCATTTTTAGCACATGAAGTGATTTTTGAGCTTTCATCGTTTAATACTAAGAATTGAAGCATTTTTACATTTATAAATGAATACAAAAGTCTAATTGGCTATCCTCCTTTGAAGCTCTTTTTCTTGAATGACTTATCTTGAATGCTCGACTTTTCATCACTTCTTTCATTGCAAGTCCGATTTGTAGTTTGAATGTCTTGATATTGACATTTATGTCCTTGATCGATTGATATTACAATCGATGATTTTGAAAACTTGGAATCAATTGTTAGAAACAAAACTTAAATTATTTGTTATGATCTAAACATTAAGAATGAAGTCAACCATGTGTCGACAATCACCTGTCGTTACTTGCCATTACCACTCCCACCATCTCATCGGCCAAATTAGACACTACAAAGGTGGTCTTGGGGGGTTTTGCATGTTCTGAAACCATTGGAAGTGGTCCCAAAAATTGATTCCCATTATGAGTTTGCCAAATCGTTGGCCTCAATTTGCGTGTGCAAAGTTGTGATTCGGGGCACATGCGGTCCCAGATTTTGATTATGGCTGAATTGGAAGGCGCCCAAGGTGTTGTGGGTGTGGCTAAGGTAGTCGACGACACGTGTGGTGTTCCGGTGTGGGGGGTCCTGACAGTGGAGGAGGATTTTATGATAATTAGGTTCATTTTGCACGATTCTCCTTGCTAATTTTGGAACGTGGGTCCTACATGAGGGTTTGAGACTCTAATCAAAGATGAGGGATGTTGGGAAGATGTTTTATGTCGGTTGTGATGGATGGGTCCAACGACTTTGATGGAAGTTGAATGTGAATAAGTGGTGGTGAGCCATTCGACCTTATCTAATTCTTGGATTGGTAGGGTTTTTTTGGGGTGGTGCATAGCAACCAGGAAGTGGTATGATGTCGTGGTGGCAATGGTGATTGTGTGGAGGTGGGTTGTGGCCTACATATCTGCGTGTAGAGATGTAGGGGAGGTGCACATGGTGGTGGGTACGGGTGCGGTGTATGCTGGTAGTGCTGGTGGTTGTGTGGTGGTGAATTATGAATTCGAGGTGGCAGCGGTATTTTGGTGGTGCTAGTGGTGGGAAAGTTAGGTGGGGAGTTGTAATGTAATTTGTGACCAGTTAATTAGGTAACTGAGACCAATTAATTTGATAAATTGTAACTAATAAATAAGTTGTAATTAGTTAATTTGATAATTTGTGATCGAATAATAACTTGTGATTTGTAACTAAATTTGTAATTGTGACCTATATTTTGTCTTTGTTATTGTTACGTTATTTGATTTGTGACTAGTACGTAATTGTAACCATAAATTGTATGTTATTCCTAGCTACTTAATAAATAGGTCACAAATATTTTATTAGATGATCACAAAGATGACCACCTAATTTTTGAAAGAATTCTACAAGTTTCTTAAATATGTAAGTGTCTCGAAACTATGGTAATTATGTATTTTTTTCCTTTACAACAAGTAATTTTAATGAAGAATGTTTAATTAAAAAGTAAGAAAGATTTTAGAATTTACGTACGAAACTATTTTATTAGAAGAATTAGTGATTAAAAATGAATTTTAGAAAATGTGGTCAAACAATAATTTACACTTTCATCCAAAAGAAGTGTCCATTGGGTTCTCCGACATTTTGACATTAATAAAAATGTATAAACATTTATAACTCTTGCTGAAACACGATTAGAAAAAGAGAAGTCAAGCATGTGCGAGCATTTGCCATTGCTATCCACACCAGATGTTGAAAAATGATCTATGGCAAATTGATCTTGTCGATGGAGTGCAGCATATTGAACCATTAGACTTTAATCTTGTTCTCAACGTTCACAACAAAAAAATGGGCCACTATTTCTTTAATTTTGATGCAATCTGTTACTTTATGACTAGGGGCAAAGTCACATGTTGCAGTGACAGATCCAGCACCCAGCGAGCACCCACGATCGGGCGCACTGGATCCGCTGAAATAATTTTTTTTGTTGAGAAACATTTTTAGCTTATATATCTGATAATTTATTTTGTTTTCAAACATATCTTATAGTTTAGTTGGTTAGAGTCTCCACATCCAAATTGGAAGTCCTGTGATCGAATTTCTTCCAAATCAATTTACTGTGCTATTTTTCTAGCTTTAGAAAGTTTACCAAAAAAAATGTAATAGGGAAGGGATTCAAACGTATGAGCCATCATTAAGACTATTAAGAACTTGACCATCATGGCATTCATAGAATGTTAACACTAAACGTTACAAAATAATATATGTTCAGTTCTAACGATTTTAATACTATTAAAAATATTCGAACATATGCTTTTCCTTTGAATTATAAAGAACTTAGCCACTATGTCGTTTGTTGAATATTGGTGATATATATAGTAGAATTATTTATGTTTAGTTTTAGCAAAATATTTGTATATTTAATTTTTAAAATTTTATTGTGCACGGCAGTCAACGTTGCCCATGCTCATTCAAAATCGTAGATCCGCCACTGACCTGTAGTCCAGTGCAGGCATATAATAGAATTATTTATGTTTAGTTTTAACAAAATATTTGTTATATTTAATTTTTAATATTTTATTGCGTCTGAAAATCAACGTCGCCTGTGCTCATTCAAAATCGTAGATCCGCCACTGACCTATAGTTCAGTCCAGGCACATGCCTGCACTGAACTTTTGGCCCAGGCCTAATCATTTTTTCTTTTCTTTTTTTATTTTTGAAGTGTAAGATTTGATGAAGATGAGATGCAATAATATATGTAGACTGTCATAGCTTGAATATGGACCTTCAATTATATGTACATATCTTCTATCAAAACTTTTCCACCATGTCGTCATCTTCATACTCATTTCTACCGTTTTCTTTTTTTTACTCTTTAAGGAGGTTTCCATGTTATTCTATATTTGGCAGTGATCCGCTTAAGTAGATAAAGATGTTATGGATAAAGCTCGTAAGGTCTAAAATAATAATTCCTCAATTTATATGAATTTTAATATATAATAAATTAGCTACTTTGTTGAAGTTTTAGATTCAAAGAAATAAGTCGATGTTTGAACTTCATTTTTAAAATGTAATTTTTCTCAAACTTATTTTTATCTTATGTTCTTTCAATAAAACCTAAAATTTATCCTACATTTTAACTATATGTTATCTAAAAAAATTAATGTTTACAAAATTCTTTCTAAAATTGATATTTAAACATTTGAATGGTTGTGTGTTTACAATTTATTAAGGTTATAAAAGTAACTTTACATAGTATTGGACTGGGATACATATTTTTAGTTAAGTTTTATTGTTATCGATTTATAAGAATCGTAAACACGTCACATTTAATAAAAGGATAAATATGAGATGCACGTGAAGGAGTATGGTCAACACTAAATTCAAATGTGTTTTATTTCTAATTTAAGT